ATAACAAATCAAATTTCCAAGGGGAAAGAAAACAATATAGGTACTCATGCTTAATGCAACTGATAGGCTCTGAGCACAGTTTACACTTCAGCACATTTTTTAAGTGAATTTTAGCCTTTAAATAATTTCCATCATTTCCTAAAGACACACACGCTGCATCAGAAAATATTTGCCAATGCCCCCACTTAAGCAATACTGCAACAATCAAGAATATTGAAAATTCTTTCAAATTCATATTCAAGTAGAAAAATGATTAAGCAATATGCTTAATCATTAAAGAAAGAGTAGAACGGCTGGGCATGGTGGCTCACGCCTGTAATCCCAGCACTTTGGGAGGCCAAGGCAGGTGGATCACAAGGTCAAGAGATGGAGACTATCCTGGCCAACATGGTGAAACCCTGTCTCCGCTAAAAATACAAAAATTAGCTGGGCGTGGTGGCGCACCTGTAGTCTCAGCTACTTGGGAGGCTGAGGCAGAAGAATCGCTTGAACCTGGGAGGCAGAGGTTGCAGTGAGCCGAGATCGCGCCACTGCACTCCAGCCTGGCGACAGCGAGACTCTATCAAAGAAAAAGAAAGAGGAGAACACCATAAACTGTCTAAATGGTCCTGTATCATGTGTGATTTCACTGAACTGCCATGGAGGTAGCAAGCTCTAGAGTCTAAATTTGGCTACAGTTTTCACCACTCTCAAACCACCTTCATGTGCTGAACTTCAGAGTCTTGGTGGTGCTTTGAATTTTATGTAGTTTTCCTACCAGTGAATTTTGCAAACCCTTTCTCCTGAAGCTGTAAACACCTGTGTAAAATGTATTATAGAATCCAGGGATGAAAATGCTAACCACTAAACAAACTAATTTTCTGGCAGTTATGGAGAATGGATACTCCAGTGTCTCCTAGAGAATACAGTTGTCCATCAAAGGCCAAACGGTTAGCAATCATACACCCATTTAACTTATGAAAAATCAACAGAAATCTATAAATGTAATACAATGCATTAACAGAATGAAGGAGAAAAACGGTGTGATCATCTCAATTAGGTGCAGAAAAAGCATCTGAGAACATTCAAGATCCTTTCATGATAAAAACTCTTAATAAATGAGGTATAGAAGAAATGGACTTTAACACAATAAAGGTCACACGTGACAAAACCAAAGCTAACATCATACTCAGTGAAAAGTTAAAAGCTTTTCTTCAGGAATAAGACAAGGATGCACACTCTCACCACTTCCATTCGACATAGTTCTAGAAGTCCCAGTCACAGCGATTAGGCAACAGAAAGAAATAAAAGGCATCCCAGCAGAAAGGAGGAAGTTATTCTGTTCCTGTTTAGACAATCTAAACATAAACATACAAAACCCTAAATACCTCACCAAGAAACTAATAAACAAATTCAGTGATACTGCAGGGTACAAAATCAATATACAAAAATCAATAGAGTTTGTATACACTAACAACAAGCTATCTGTAAAAGAAATCAAGAAAATAATCCCATTCACAATAGCCACACCAAAAATAAATACTTAGGAACAAATTCAACCAAGGAAGCTAAAGACCAATATGCCGAAAACTATAAAACACTAAGGAGAAAAGGGAAGATACAAATAAATAGAAAAATATTCCATGTTCATGGATTGGAAGATGATTATCCAAATGTCCATACTACTCAAAGTGAGTGAAATGCAATCTCTATCAAAATTCCAAAGACATTTTTCACAGATATAGAAAAAAACAATGATACAATTTACATAAAAACACAAAACATTGCAAATAGCCAAAGCAATCCTGAGCAAAAAGAACAATGCTGGAGGCATCACAATACCTCATTTCAAAATATACTACAAAGCTATAGCAATATAAACAGCATGGCACTGGCATAAAAACAGATACATAGACCAGTAGAACAGAATTGACAGTCCAAAAATAAGTCTATGCATTTACAGTCAACTGATTTTCAATGAAGGCACTAAGAACACACAATGGGGAAAAAAGTCTCTTCAATAAATGGTGTTGTGAAAACTGGATATCCACATACAGAAGAATGAAGTTAGATCCTCATCTCACACTATTATAAAGAAGTTAACTCTCACTTGAAGCCAGGAGTTCGAGACTAGCCTGGGCAACAAAGCAAGACCCTGTCCTTACAAAAAATTTAAAAGTTAGCTGGGCATGTTGGCATGAGCCCATAGTCCCAGCTACTCTGGAGGTTCAGGTGGGAGAATCACGTGAGCCCAAAAGTTCGAGGCTACAGTGAGCTACAATCGCACCACTGCATGCCAGCCTGGGCAATAGAGTGAGACTCTGTCTCAGTAAAAAATAAATAAACTCAAAATGGCTTAAAATCTTAAACATAAGAGTTGAAACTGTAAAACTATGCGAAAGAAACTTAGGGGAAAACTCCATGACACTGGTTATAGGTAATGATTTTTTGGATATGACCCCAAAAGAACAGGCAACAAAAACAGCCAAATGGGATTACATCAAACTAAAAAGCTTTTGCACAGCAAAGGAAACAATCAACAGAGTACAGAGACAACCTACAAAATGAGAAAAAATATTTCCAAACCACGTATCTGATAAGTAGTTAATATCCAAAATATTACATAAGGAACTCAAATAACTCAACAGAAAGAAGACAAAAAACCTAATTTAAAAATGAACAAAGGACCTGAATAGACATTTCTCAAAAGACGACATACAAATGGCCAATAGGTATATTTAAAATGCTCAACAGTACTAATCATCAGAGAAATGCGAATTAAAACTACACCTGTCAGAATGGCTATTACCAAAAAGACAAAACAAGTGCTGGCAAAGACATGGAGAGAAGGGAACCCTTGCACACTGTTAGTGGGAATGGAAATTAGCACAGCCATTAAGGAAATAGAGGTTCCTTAGAATATTAAAAATAAAACTACCATATGATTCAGCAATTCTGGTTGCTGGGTATACATCCAAAGAAGTGAAATCAGTATGTCAAAGTGATCTCTGTACTCCCAGACTCACTGCAGCATTATTCACAACAGCCAAGATACAGAATCAACAGATAAATGACAGATAATGTGGTATGTATACACAATGGAATACTGTTCAGCCTTTAAAAAAAAAAAAGAAGGAAATCATGTCATTTACAACAACATGGTAGGTGAACCTAGAGGGCATTATGTTAAGTGAAATAAGCCAGCCACAGAAAGACAAATATTGCATGATCTCACTTAAACGCAGAATCTAAAAAAGCTAAGCTCATAGAAGTAGAGAGTAGAATGGTGGTTACCAGTGGCTGGCGGGGCAGGTTGGGACACTGGAAAGATGTCAAAGGATACAAAATTTCAGTTAGATGGGAGAAATAAGTTCAGAGCTCTACTGTACAGTATAGTGACTTTAGTTAATGATGTATACTTGAAAATCACTAAGAGAATAGATTTTAAGTGTTCTCACCACAGAAAATAAGTATGTGAGGTAATACATGTTAGTTACCTCAACTGAGCCATTCCACAATGCATAGATATTTCAAAAATCATGTTATACCTGATAAATATATATAACTTTATTTGTCCATTTAAAAAAATAAAACGAAATTTTTAAAAAAGAAAAATCAGGCCAGGCGCAGTGGCTCATGCCTATAAACCCAGCACTTTGGGAGGCTGAGGTGGGTGGATTACTTGGGGTCAGGAGTTTGAGACCAGCCTGGCCAATATGACAAAAATCCTGACTCTACTAAAAATACAAAATTAGCTGCGTGTGGTGGCATGCACCTGTAATTCCAGCGACTCGGGTGGCTGAGGCAAGAGAATAGCTTGAACCCAGGAGGCAGAGGTTGCAGGAAGACAAGATCATGCCACTGCACTCCAGCCTGGGTGACAGAGCAAGACTCTGCCTCAAAAAAAGAAAAGAAAAATCAATCACACACTCTTGGCCAAAAAGACGAGAACGAGAGAACAATTTTAATGGCATAAACCTTTGCCTCTTTCAAAGTGTGGCCAAAGCCACACTGGCATCCCCTGCTTAGAAAGTAGACTCAATGGGGCCGGCAGTGGTTCATGCCTGTAATCCCAGCACTTTGAGAGGCCAAGGCAGCAGATCACCTGAGATCAGGAGTTTGAAATCAGCCTGGCCAGTGAAACCCCATCTCTACTAAAAATACAAAAATCAGCTGGGCATGGCAGCACGTGCCTGTAGTCCCAGCTACTCGGAAGGCTGAGGCAGGAAAACTGCTTAGGCCCGGGAGGCAGAGGTTGCAGGGAGCCAAGATCGTCCCACTGCACTCCAGCCTGGGCAACAGAGCAAAACTCCGTCTCAAAAAAAAAAAAGAAAGTAGACTATCAGGCCCCACCACCAGATCTCCTGAATCTGAATCTGCATTTTATCAAGATTCCCCCATGATTCCTAAACACAATGCAGTTTGGCCTAAACGATATCTCCCACCATTCCACTCCACAGGCATACGCCCCAGAGTAAGCGTGAGACGGGTGACACTGATCTGCAATTCCCTTGGTGGGTCTCAGTTCTCACCCGCCTTGCACCTCACTGAGTGAGTTACTAACGTTTAAAGGGTACTTTGGACTATACACCTAAGACATGACTTCACCTAAAACATGTTCTGTCCCCGGGCTGACCCCTCAGCTACCAACCTAACAACTGGCTCAATTTAACCAAGGGCTCACATCTTTGCATTAAAAACTGTGGGTACATTAATAGCACAGACAAGCTCAATAAAGGCTGAGCACCAAGTTGTCGGCCACCAGCACACTGCCACAGTTCAGCCGTAACTCAGACTCAGGGAGAAAAGAGCTCTTGGGCCACAGAAAGACACACACCGAGTGGTGATGTGGAACATAATCCTTTAAGGTCAAGGTGGCTTTCCTTCAAGTAAACTTGCCATCCAAGTCATTAATTCTGCAAAGTTTATAATTCTGTGAGTAAATTTCTATTACCTAGGAGAGTCCTATACTTTAATCACACATTTAGGAAAATCTTGAACATCTGTTGGCGACAGCTTACCTGTGCACATCTTCCTAGTTCTTTCCTGTCCAGATACTGAAATATATTGATTGCCAATTCATAAGGCAGTTGGATATCAAAGAAAGGCACATCATTCATTTCATTCTGAGGGAAAAAAAAAAGGAAGTAAGTTTACAATTCTTAGATATGGTAATAACTCAAATTTACAGGCCCTTTAAATGACCAGAGATATTCTTAGGTGGTAATAAGATAGATGAGGCTATTTCCCAGGAGGGAGGCATCCGTACTGTTTCACGAGGCAGTCATGGAACTATTTCAGAACCTGCCAGCCATCCTCCATTCTCTGAGCCCTCTACGCCTCCACTCCTCATATTCACTTAGGAAACCCATGTGACCATTTCCCATGGTGCTTCACAAAGCAGCAGGGGTGCTATCTTCCAGCCTGGTGTATGGCACAGGAATCAGTGCCAAGGTCTGTGGAAAGCCTCCTGACCTCTAAGGAAAGGTGAGCAGCAGGCGGCCAAGAAAGTGAGCCTTGAAATCAGGGAGGCCACCCCTCCTCCCAGGACAACCACCACTCCTCCCAACTAGGAAGGGAGTGAGCACACACAGCTAGAGAAAAGCTGCTTTAGGTCACTAAGGGGTTTTCACTGGGAAAAGAATAGGGCTATAAACATGAGCAAAAAGTAAACAAGCAGACACTGCTCTTGATGGAGGTGAACGCCACCTCTCCTTGGCCACTGGAGAAGTGCAAGGTTTCCTAATGCTCTCAGGGGCTTACATTGGTTAACCTGAGCGGGCCAGTGCAAACAAAGCAGTTCTTCTTCGGTGTCATTTATTAATGCAAAGAAATCAGAGCTCGACTGCCTTTGGATAAGCAATTAGAGATGAGGTAACGGGCTTTATTTGAGCGATAAGGCTGTCATGACGATCCTGGTAGCACAAAGCAATATGAGTGTAAAACAGAAAAAAAGCCAAGCGTACGTATGTACCCCTCTGCCTGTTCCCAATCCACCTGCCAAAGCTCACTTTGGTATGGGCTTCTGTAAAGCTAGGAAAAGCTGCACTCTGTGTCCCAATAGCATTCGCTTAATAAAATCCATTTTTAATAAGCTTTGGCTGACATCAGTGACTTACTGCTTACAAGCGAATTGTTAATTCACCAGTCAAATGCAGAGGTCTTACATATTGCAAGGCTGCTGTCTCAAAGCAAACAAACAAAAAATCACCTCAGTGTTTTTTAAGGGAGTCTAAGCACTGATTTAGACCCTACCAAGACTTAGGGTAAAGATTTTTCTGGAATGGAGTTTCTGTTCATCTAGGAATCTCGGGGCTAAAAGACAGCCCAGAGCATAAAGAGGAAATGCAGTATTTAACTGCAAAAATAGCGCAAAGGATGAAGGCCAAAAGGGATCTCTGGAGGAAAAAAAGAGTAAGAGTTGACAGCTCTCTGTGGGCAAAGAGAAGGAACAGAATGTTAAATCCAGAGAGAAATTTTGGCCATACAGAAAAAAAAAAAAAGGGAAAACAAATCTGCAAGTGTAATTAGAAGGCTCAGGGGTGCTTGCCTAAAAAAATAATGGAAAGTCATTGGTTTAATGTCAGGCTCCGTCCCCTCCCACAACTAACTGGCTTTACTCATCAAGAAACGGAGGCATCACTTTCTCTCTCGGCCCAGATACAACTTGAGACTCCTCAAATCAACACTGGAGGGAGTCACTGCTTGCCAAGGAAAGCTACACTCGAGATGAAACTTTCATTTGTAATCATGGTCTTCCTCCTGCTTTCTTTTTTGGATTATTTTGACCTTGTGGAGAGGCCTTCTTTACCTACTTGGTAAAGAAACAAGAGAAAAATGTTCCTTATCCTCCTACAACCCGAACAAAGGCAAGGAAAAGCCTGCATTCATTGAAACTGAAGTCTCATTTAGCCTTTCACTGTTAGAGACTTGCCAGGCATCGCTTTCTTCAATTGGTCCCATTTAAGACTCACTAGGAACTGGTTTCTGGACTTGACACTACTCTGACGAGACAAAGGACACCATTATCTTTGTTTTTAGCTATTCTGGTACAGAAAAGTCACACCTCTGGTAACAGGAGCCTTCCATCTTTTGCCTACTCCGTTGGCCTAGCCTCTATCCTCATCACGGAAGATAATGCCTGTATCTTGGCATCACCCTAGCCCTGCCACCAGCATCCTTGATCCCAACCAGCATAATCTCTGGAATGCAACCCAGCATGGAGGTTCAGAGCAGAGATTCAAACTGATACATGTGTTCGCTCACCTTACCAACAAGCAACCGGGTTAAATTCATCTGTGCTTTCTCATCTGTAAAACAGGTAAAAGCACTCTATGAAACAGGTATGCTATTAAGAATAAAAATGAGACCCCATGCTGGTCTCACTGTTAATGCATGCATTATGATGGTTCTTGATCATTTACAAGTTCCGAAGGGCAACCACTGTCTCAAAGCATTGAACTGTAATTTTGTAAATGATGCTACACAGCCAAACTTTAAAAAATCACTGTGCTCTCAGAATTATTATCTAAACTCCAAAAGAGATAAAAGTCCCAGACTTTCACGTAGATGACCTTCCGTGTGGCTAACCACTGGAAAATGGTAGGGAAAAAAAAGAAACCAATACACTAAAGGAAGGTCCACATCTCAAGAAATATGTAGACCCCCCCAGCAAGGTGAGGAGACCAAATGCTCAAGTTTCATGCTGCACACTTAAAGAATAATTCTGGCATGACATTCTATTAATGGTCCCTATCATCCATACTGCAGTGGGTCACTCAGATCCCGCTTCGGTCCCACTCATTCCCCTAGATGAAAATGTTGCCTGCTGTTGACTGACAGGTGAGTCCCTTCACAGGCACTGGTCAAACAAGCTGCCTCACCCAAGTTGCATCCCCTCCCATCTCCGCTAAGGCAGCCTGTATCCAATGACTAGTCCATGGCTGGGTACAAAGGCCTGGCCCCCTTGCTCAGTTCAGGATCTCTCCGAAAGGAAAATCCACTAAAGCACCTACATGCAAATCTCCATTTCAGAATCTATTTTTTGAAAAGTTCAATCTTTTTTTTTTTTTACCAAAGCGATAGACATGACCCATGATAGTCCTGTGTTCAACATATTCCCAAGGGTTCTTACGCACACCTCCAGAGACATTAATCTAGGTAAGCTACTTCCTCTTCCCTCCTTGAGGAGGATACCAGAATGCAGATAAATGAGTGACATCACTCCACCAGCCAACCAACAAACCAGAGTAAATTCAAGGTTTAGTAACTGATTCATCAACTTCAGTTCGTTATTATTGGAAATATCATTTGGGAAACACCTTACAAGAGACAGAGTTGTGAGCGTATCTGGCCCTGTGGTTGAAAACACACCTCTTTTATAAGTGTGCATGATGTGACAAGGATGTGAAGCCACATCCTGGACAACAAAAGCTGTGGTCTAGTAACCACGTAAATCCTACTAGTGTCGCGGCGGCAGAATGTCTTAGGCACTCTGATTGGTTACTTCCCACAGTTCATAAATGTAGGTCAAAAACACTACTTGCTACTAGTGTGCAGAGAAATACCTTGTTATCTGACAGATACTATCAGCCAGAGGTTGGTTAACGGATATAAAAGTGCAGCTAGAGAGGAGGAGAGTTCTGGTTCTCTGTAGCACTACAGGTTGACTATAATTCACAACAATTTATTGTATATTTTCAAATAGCTAGAAGAGCAGATTTTGAATGTTTACAATGCAAATAATAAATGTTTTAGGTGACGGATATGTTAATTACCCTGATTTGGTCAATATACACTGTATACATGTATCACACTGTGCCCCATAAATATGTACAATTATAATGTGTCAATTAAAAATTAAAAAAATAAAAGATTCTATCAGTCTTCCGCCTAGACTACTGCAAAGCACATAGCCATCCAAAAAGTTATGGGCCATATTAACCCAACTCTACACTGAATTAAAAACATGAAAATGGACAACTTGGCATTTCAGAAACAAAGAAGAAGGAAGGAAAAGGAATTAAAGACATTGAAAATATTAAAATAGGGAAATCTGGTCAAACTATACAAATATCAACATGGCTACAATATCTGGAGAAAATAATTTTGCAGTAGTTGAATAGCTCCCAGCAATTCCTGAGAATGGCCAAATTTATTCTATAGGAGACCAATAAATTCAAAATATTAGTATTCCTTCAATGTTCAGGAAAAGAATCTGTCTGATAACATACAACCTTGTTTTTTAATTCTTTGACAATGTCCCAGATATCGACTCTCTACCACTATTGGGGACTTTTGTCCTGTATTACACATCAAAATCACCTGTGGAACTAAAAAAAAAAAAAAAAAGCCAAGGGCCCTACCCAGACCTACTGCCCCGAATTTCCAGATTTAGGGCTCAAGCACCTCTTTTTCTTTTGAGATGGAGTCTTGCTCTGTCACCCAGATCATGTCACTGCACTCCAGCCTGGGCTACAGAGAAAGACTCGGTCAAATGGAAAAAAAAAAAAAAAAAAAAGCCAAGGGCCCTACCCAGACCTACTGCCCCGAATTTCCAGATTTAGGGCTCAAGCACCTCTTTTTCTTTTGAGATGGAGTCTTGCTCTGTCACCCAGTCTGGAGTGCAGTGGCACGATCCTGGCTCAATGAAACCTCTGCCTCCCAGGTTCAAGTGATTCTCATGCCTCAGCCTCCCAAGTAGCTGAGATTACAGGCACACATCATCACACCTAGCTAATTTTTGTATTTTTTAGTAGAAACAGGGTTTTGTCATGTTGGCCAGGCTGGTCTCGAACTCTCAGCCTCCACCTGCCTTGGCCTCCCAGAGTGCTGGGATTACAGGCATGAATCACCGTACCCAGCTTGAGCATCTCTTTCTCAGGTGATCGTCATGCACACTAAAAGTTGAGAACACAACCCTACATCATAGGCAGATATAAAAATCTATCCATCCCCTCTCTCAAGGAACACACACACACACACTCACACACACACAAATGGGTCATATTACTTGGTTAATTTAAAGTCAGTGAATACTAGATTTTCCCAAAGTCTACTGGACTTACTCCAAAAACACTGACAGAAATTGCAAAGAGATCCATCCCCAGGGAGGCTGATTTGTATTCCTATGTGCTAATGTAAGACTAATTCTGTAAATGGATTGGTTTTGTGCCTTACTGTTAGAAATTTAATCTGTCTTCTCTTGTTTAATAGAAGAAGGGATAATTACTAAAAGCCAAAGCAGTAAAAAGTGAAGAAACTGACTTAAGGTTTTTGTTCTCAATGTACATCTCCAGGGCAAAAAGAACATGAAAGATCTCTCTGGGTGGTGGTTTAAGAAACTGAGAAAAGCACCTTGAGTTCAAAGAAGAGATTTGTAATAACATTTTTACTAAATCTATGACTGAAAGGAGACTGTTTTCTACAGGCGTTTATCTCAACTTTCCACATACTGCAAAAGCTGAGCGGAGTAGACCCACACAATCTCAATCAGAAGAAATAGATGAGTTTCAGTTTCACCTGTGTCTTCTTTGAGACGGAAAAAGCTGGTTGGCTGGTGGGGGCGGGGGGGAGGGGAAGGTCTGAAAGGCAGTCAAGATAAACAAGCATCCATTTATAATCCACAATTTGTCTCAAAATATATATTCTTATATACAAAAAGAAAAAAAGTCAGAAATAGACCAGGCACAGTGGCTCACATCTGTAATCCCAATACTGGGCGACTGAGATGGACAGCTCATTAGGGGCCAGGGGTTCAAGACCAGCCCAGGTAACATAGTGAGACATCGTCTCTAGAAAAAATAGAAATAAATTAGCCAGGTGTGGTGGCGTGCACCTGTAGTCCCAGCTACTTAGGAGGCTGAGGTGGGAGGATGGCTTGAGTTTGGGAGGTCAAGGCTACCGAGCCATGATCACACCACTGCACTCTAGCCTAGGCAAAAGAGAGAAATCCTGTCTCCAAAAAAAAAAAAAAAAAGAATGTCAGAAATACACCAAAATGTTAACAATAGTAGCCTCTAAGCAATGATATCAGTAAAGATTTTTATTTTGTTCTACTCTTCTTAATTTCCTAAATATTTCTACAGTGAGCACATGATATTTTCACAGATGCAGAAAAGCAACACATTTTTTTTTTTTTTTTTTTTTGAGATGGAGTCTCGCTCTGTCGCCCAGGCTGGAGTGCAGTGGCCGGATCTCAACTCACTGCAAGCTCCGCCTCCCGGGTTTATGCCATTCTCCTGCCTCAGCCTCCCGAGTAGCTGGGACTACAGGCGCCCGCCACCTCGCCCCGCTAGTTTTTTGTTTTGTCTTTTTTTTGTATTTTTCAGTAGAGACAGGGTTTCACCGTGTTAGCCAGGATGGTCTCGATCTCCTGACCTCGTGATCCGCCCATCTCAGCCTCCCAAAGTGTTGGGATTACAGGCTTGAACCGCTGCGCCCGGCCCACATTTTTCAAGTAAGGTAACTTATGTTCAAAATACTATCTAAATTCAGGGCCACACCAGGTGCTAGGGTGAGCGAGGTGCTGTCAGCAAGTATATAAGAAATAGTCTACATTCAAAGGGCTAAAATATTTTCTAGAGGTAAGTCATTGTCATGTAAAATGAAATAAATACAGGAGACTACAACAGGCAATATAGATCGTCCCCTAAGGCACTCCAAAGTTCATTAGTAAGCCAACTCTATAGAAGTTGGAAATCATTTCTCCAAACTATGCTATAAAGAGCGGCTAAGCTCCCAAGCAGTCCACAAAAAAACAATTTATCTCTTAACATTTAACCTAATCCCTGTGCCTAGCTATGAGGAAGAGCAAAAGGGATTCAATAAATAGTTGTTGATCGTATGTGCGGGTGATATAAGTGAACTATAATACTACAGAATCTAACTAGCTCAGTGCCTTGCACACAGTAGATGCACAATAAATGTCCACGGAATTTGATTTATCCTTTTTTTACGAGAATAGGCTTTCCAGCTTCAAGACACATTCTCACTCCCCTGGGGACTCCAGCAAGGGAAGAAGGTAGAAGACGCTAACCTAAAGAAGGGCAAGTGCTGGGGGAAATCCCAGGAGGCTGGCTGTGGTGGTGAAGGAGGGTGGTGTGAAGCAAAATGGGCTGGGCCTCTGCTTTGAGCCCCCTTTTAATCCAAACGGGGATCTGAGCTTTAGGACATGACCAGGAGAGAAGACAGGAAGAAGAGAAGTTTCAGGTCCCAGAGGGGTACCACAGTGGGTGTGGTTTTGTGAAAAGAGTAAAGATGTTCACATACAGGGGGCTCAAACACTGCAGGCACATTCCCACCATCAGGACTGGCTATAGAATTTGTGGGGCCCGTTGGTCAAAAATGATTAAGATCATTGAAAATGATCAAGGCAACAGAGCATTCAACTAAGTGTGGGTCCCAGCCACCAAAGAACCTTTGCACTTGCCCGTCTTGGCCTAGAATCCCCTCCCCCAGATCTCTGTATGTTCAGTCCTCACCTCCTGTAGGTTCTCCATGAAACGTGACCTTCCCAGAAAGACCCTGTTGGACAGCACTATTTAAAAGTACAGCCCCTCCCCTGGCAGATACACTCTACCCGTCTGCTTATTTTTTCTCCAGAACATTTATTACTGACAATTATTTGTCCATTGTCTAACTCCCTCTTCCCCAGCATGTAAGTTATACAAGGGCACAGGTTTTTTTCCTTCTTGTTCGATGCTATATTCTCAGTGCCTGGAACAGTGGCTGGTCCTAAGAAGACACTTAATAAATATTTATGGGATTAATGAATGAAACCCGAGCTGCTTCAAGCAGCAGACCCTTCCAACAAGGACCAGATGTAAGTCACAAGTTGTTCTAGCATACACAGGCATCATTTCAAAAGGTTCGTAAGTAGAGGCCTGCTAATTCGTGAATAACATGAAAAAATGAACGGCACTGAGGATAAGAACTTTTTAGTTGGGGGAAAGGGAGAAATTTGGATTGGAGAAATCAGGGAAGAATTAACACAGGAGACAGACCTCAAGCTGAGCTTTAAAAGGTAGGCAAAGAACAGGAAAGAGGAAAGGAAGTTATTCCAGGTAAGTCAATTCATGAGTACACATTTGGTTTGGTTTGCTGTCTCACGGAATGTTAGCCAGAAGAAAAGTGTTCACATTAGGGAGCTTCCTTATTTGTGTTTAACTTAAAAACAGAAGAAGGTTAAGCCATTAAATCTATCTTGTTGGCAACATAGATGCAGGATCTGACAGGTTAAATATTGACATAGTGAGTGCTAAATATTGACCAGCAGTATTAAAACTTTCAGCAGACTTAAAACTCCATATCTTAACCTGGAAGGATGCTTTGAATGTTCAAGGGTTCTAACAACAATAGAGCCTTTATAAAGTTGCTGTCATAAGCAGTGATTTTGCCCACATTATTTCAACTCAACAAATGTAGATAGGGCCCCTACTGTACTAGTACGGCAGGTGGAGGTAGAATATAGTAAGGCAACACATCCTGCCCTCCAGGGATTCACAAGAGGCGGAAGTTAAGGGCTCATCGGTGATAAGTTTCAGCAAAGAGGAAGTAAAATAGCATAGCAAACTCTGAGTACTGATGAAAATGGCACCAGCTTACATTTATTGGGCCCTTACGGTACTCCAGGTTTGGTGCTAAGTTCCATGCCTATTTCATGACCTCTTCACAAGATAGGTACTAAAGGGCACCTTTAAAATTAGAGGTGCCCCAAAGGTTGTAGCTCCTCATAGAGAACCTAGTAGTACCTAATGTGGTGATTCTGAAGGGATCAGAAGAGACCAGGGACGTGAATTCCAGGAAGACAGGGAAGGCCTTTTCCAACAACATGAAACAGATTCGGATGTGCCCTCCAGATCCTCCAGCATGCAGGTCCCGTCTATTTTTAGAATACAACAAACCCTTGAATAACACGGGTTTGAACTGCTTGGGTCCACTTGTATGCAGGTGTTTTCCATAAACGTTGCATCGAATGTGCCTGCCTCTCCTTGCACCTCTGCCACCGAGACAGCAAGACCAATCCCTCCAACGCAGCAGCAGCAGCAGCAGCAGCAGCCGCCGCCTACCCAGCGTGAAGGCAATGAGAATGACGGCCTTTGTGATGAGCCACTTCCACTTAATGAATACATACATTTTCTCTTATAATTTTATTAATGACACTTTCTCCTCAAGCTTACTTTATTGTAAGGCTACAGTATGTAACACACATAAAATACAAAATATGCGTTATCTGACTGTTATCTCTAAGGCTTCTGGTCAACAGTAGTTAAGTTCTGGGAGAGTCAAAAGTTACATGCAGATTTTTTACTGCAAGGAGGTCAGTTTCCCTAACTCCCCTGTTGTTCAAAGGTCAACTGTACTTGA